CCACACACACACACACACACACACACACACACACACACACACACACACACACACACACACACACACACACACACACACACACACACACACACACACACACACACACACACAGGGTTGGCTGCCTCAGGGGTCAGTGGCTCTGAGTTATCCACGCCGAGTTTGCTGCTCAAGCTTTGGTGTGTGTGTGTGTGTTGGAGAGAGCGATCAGAACTTAATCTTGGACCTGTGCTGGATGGATGTTTAATGTATGCCTAATGTTCAGTTCAGAAAGGTTAACATATACCGAGTAGGGATGTCCCGATCACCTTTTTTCGCTCCCGATCCGATTCCGATCATTTGATTTTGACAATTTGTCGATCCCGATTTTTCCCGATCCGATCTTTATGCAATGCATTAAGAGAAAAAAAAGAAAAAAAGCATTCAAGTTGTCCCTTAAGGTTATTTTTTTATTTAAATTGGATATTCTATCCAACATGGATATAGCTTCTTTCTTTCACAGCAGCATTGGATCAGTTCAGTTGTGCAGCATTGGATCAAAACAAAATAAAGCTTATCATTACTCGTTAGCTTACTGCTACAATTAGACACTGCGCCCACTCTGCTGCCAGATTTGAGAGAAATAAGCAACCAGGTCTATGAAAACAAGCCCCAAAGAAGCAACACATACATGATGTTGTGTAATTTGAAACTAAAACTAAGGCCTCAGGATGACTTTAAGACTTGAACATGGTCATTTTTGAATAAAAAAAATAAAAAAAGTATTAACATTTTTTTTTTTTTAAATCCCCATCCCCGATTTTTTTCTTTCCGATCTTTTGAAAATCACGTGATCGGCTCCGATCCCCGATCACGTGATCGGATCGGGACATCTCTAATACCGAGTTTGAAACCCCAGAGACTCGCTCCATTTAGTGGATTTGTTTATTTAAGTCTCCTTATAGTAAGGAGAGCTTGTGTATTCTTAGCATAAATGGCCCTGTGGGATATCAAATAAATCCCTCACACTGGAAGTGCTGGCGCCCATGAGCCTGTGAAGAGAACATGTGCAAATAAATTGTTCTTAACGCCTCTGGGTTAACCTCAAAGTTCATTATGGAGAGATATGGTGTTATAAAGATATTTATTCAATTAAAATACATGATTTTAACCAATATTTTAGGCAATGTTAGACAATTATTAAAACATTCCTCACCTTTAAAGAAGCACTATTATGTTTTGGGGGGTTTCCCCCTTCCTGTAATGCGATATATAGGTTTAATGGTTTGCAACGGCTAAAACTCCTGTGGTTACTTCCGTAACATAGTGACATCACTATATAACACTCGCGCTTCTATTGGCAAGGGCTCCAACACATTGTATGTGAATTTTCATCTCTAAGCGGTTGACCAATCACAACAGAGCCGGCCAGCTAACCAATCAGAGCAGACTGAGCTCTGGTTTCAGACAGAGGGTGAAAAGACGTGCTGCAGCACAGGCAGTATGAGACAAATAAAGAGCTTTTTGAACATTCAAGCATGTTTTTGATTGGACTGATATTCTTGTTTTAGAACGTCAATAATTGTTGACTTTCGGACGCTTTGAAGTGAAACAATCCTTACGCAGCCACCATTAGAGTCTACTCATTCAAATAGTATTATACTAATAGCATATTGACATTATTCAGACTGAATAGATGAGCCCAAAATAATCTGTGCAGCATTAAACATTTTGATATAGACTTTGAACTTTATGAATGAAGCTTTGAACTCTTTGGAGCAGCCCCGGTAACAACTGATTATTTCATTTGTGTGTGCAAGTCGTGCCTCTGAAACTGTGTGTTTGCATGAATCAGTACTTCATGCCGTGTTCAGATATCTCTGTTTTCCTTCCACTTCTCTCATCTACTACGATATCTCCTCTGGGCTGCTGGTGGCCTGCTGTGTGTGAGCGAGTCGAGGGCATCGATGAAAAGGCTGCTGATGTCTGTCCTCCATTCTAGCTTTTCCCTGTAGTTGTGGGTAAATTGAGCTCTCAGGGCTGGTCCAAAAAATATCAGTTTTATTTATTATTTGGGTGTTTGGGCTCCTGTCTGAGTTTGTTGTTGTGGTAAAGTGTGTGTGCTTGGGCTGACGTGTATTCCTTGAGCTCACTTGATGATTATCTTGAGAGTTTTGCCGTTAACCTCAAAAGTTAGTTCTAGTTAGTTTAGTGTACTGGTGGTGTTGCTATTATGTTATCATTATCACGTTACGCTGTGTGTGAACCATTAGCAAAAGTTCTATGAAATTAGAATGCCAGTTGCCGCTGTCAATTCCTATAATGTTAAATAAAGCTTGATATTATTTTTGTGTATTTAATCGTTTATAGGGGACAATGGACATTAATAAACATTGCAATATATATATAGTTAGCTAAGAGGCTATTTTTCATCTGTAGTCCCTGGATGTTACAGTCACAGTAAAAGCAATATTCCAGACTCTTACATAATTATATCTATGCAACAGAGCAATTGTTTGCAACTTGTCCATGTCGCCCCTCTTTTGTGGCAAGGTAATGTTTCTTGATTTAAAAAAACAGTATATGTATTAAATGTCGTCTTTTTCTCTCACATTTACATAAGAAATACACATAAAGTACCAGCATCCATTTACTATTTGCTAATACAATCCTATTTTCCTTGAACTAAGCACATCTAAATATCTATATAGAATATTCCTAGATACTTATCCTAATGTTCTCATATCTGTTTCTCTCTCTCCTGCTCCTCGCTCAATGTAAACAAACCCAGCTGAGTGGAGAGCCTCTGATTCCTCATCATGCAGTGGCTCCACCCACAGGAGGGCCCAGCAGCCAATCAGCAGCCAGCTGGGCTTTGGGCATTGCCATAACGACAGGCAGGCAGGCAGGCAGGCAGGAGGTAGTAGTAGTGAGGTGCCCTTGTGGTGGAGTGGCTTAGTGACCTTTCCTGGGCTTCCAGACATGTATTGTACATCGCTACGGTTAGCTTCCAACTTATCACAGGATGAGCTCAGTTCCAAAAGCAATATGTATGAGGCCAAATAAGTTGTTTATTATTCATTAACTGGAGATACAACAATAACAGCTGGGAATGGTTTATTAATTCTCGTTGGCTTACAATTTAACCTGCATATAACTATGTTTCAATTTTACAGCTATAAAACTACAGCTAAGCAAACAAGGCCATAACTTAACTTTTGTATTTAACTTTAAAATAACAGTCACAGGAATCCATAGAAAAACCTGCAACAGAGCTTGAAAAGTAGGTCAAAGTAAAGGGTCTATTTTGTTTGGGCAAAGGGCTCATCTGTGTCATATTTCGTCAGATGTATTATTTATTTACCTTGCCTGTAAAATAAAAAAATCAGAAGGGAAAAAAACCACACACGTACGGTTTACCTAGTGTATAGCTGCAGTACAGCTTCATTTAACTGTTAGGTTGGTGTGTGTGAAACTGTGTGGTTACAAAAAAAAGTGTGATTTTTTTTAAATGTGTGAAATGACTACTGTTGTAGATGCATACCTGCAAATGTGGCGCTGGACTTTGATCCTGTTACTCTGAATACAGCTGGCTCACCAGTAGTCTGCTCGCACTGGCCTATTTACACACCTGCCACACACACACACACACACACAGACACACAGGCACACAGACACACACACACATATTCTCATATTTTAATAATGCTTCCAAAAAAGTCTTATATAAAAATATTGCACTGAAGTACACAATCTACATAGCATGGAGAAAAACACACACTTTTAGTTCATAAGTTCTTAATTTACGTATACTTCACACACGCACAAACACATTTGAGTTATTCTAATCTATGCCAACGCTAATCTCTCCAATACACACACAGACTTCAGTCACCTGCAGCACACTTCCATGTGCACTCGTGCACGGTGAGCAAACACACACAGTCTGTCTGCTCTTTACTCTCTGCAGCAACAGGCTACTGTTAGCGGGCTACTACTACTACACTCATTAACTGGGTTGGCCAACATTATGACACACACACACACACACACACTTTTAAACACACACAATCCATAATGCTGAGCACTGACTGAAGCGAGACATCAGTGCTATTTGTTCAGGAGTTTGTTTTACACCCTTTCTAAACTGATACTACTGGTATTTTGTAGCACTTGGCTAAAGGCATGATACCTTTGGGTTTATGTTAGCACTGCATTCAAGGATTGACATTATGGGAAATGCACTTATTGAGACTTGGAAAAGAAAAACAACACTACTCATATGTCTGTGGGGTAAACAATGAAGCTATAGGGTGAAGACGGTTAGCTTAGCTTAGCTTAGCTTAGCACAAAGATAAAAAATAAATAAAGGAAACTGCTAGCCTGGCTCTGTTTGAGGGCAAAACGTCCTACCAGAACCTCTAGCTCACTTGTATGTTTAATTTACTTACTATGTACAACAAGGACAGTTTTAAAATGACACCTTGTGATTTTCTTGGTTTTCTGAGGCTTTCTCCCTACTTTTAGTCTTTGTGCAGAGTGAAGCTAACCTCCTACTGACTGTGGATACATATTTACTCTACAGACATAATCTAACTCTCATTGTAGTTGGATTCTCCCTTTCATCAAACATAATAAGGGGGAGAGTTCCATCTGCTTTGTGTCCCGTTTGGCCCTCAGGCGACAAGACAGTTCGATATTCGGTAAAATAGAGGGTTTTGGGGACATTTTTCTCCATCATGGATTGAGGGTTCAGCTGCTAGCTTTTTGTTGCGCGGTCCAATTTGCACATGTTACTATGGGGAGACAGTGCCTTGCTTCTTCACAGTCTTCCTCAGGGATATCCGTGTGGATTTATGTGCTCGGTTAAATTGCTGTTGCTGTATGCACGGATTCAGGCATGTGCTATGTAATTATGAGCATACTGTACGTGTCTCTGCACACTAGGGCAGTCGCATACTTGTGTTATTTTGTCCGGGAATGTGTATTTATTGTGTTTTTCCAAGGCTAATATTAATGACCCGGGCAGAGATAGCTACCAGGAGAACTTCATAGGGACATTTAGCATATTCTACCTGTGTATTTCAGCATCTCACGCTCTGGTCCGTTTTGCATAGTATCAGCAGACTGGAAATGCAGCCAACCTCAAGGGCAGGTCTCATTATTTACCTACTGAGGCAGCTGCTGGATAACAATCACTAACGTAGGACTGTGCACATGTTGGAGCTAAATGTTACATATCATTTGAAATTCACACTTTTGTCAGCAATGAAAACACTGTTTACCTCACCTCCTTGTGTGTTTATGACGTGTCCCCCCCCCCTCTGTCTTTATTCAGGTAGCTGGGGTGTAGTTTCCCTGTGAGACAGTCAGAGAGAGACAGACAGTCCTGGACCACTCCCCCTCATTTCCTCCCCACCCTTCTCCCACAAAGACATGCATAGCAAGAACCGTAAGTGTGAGCTCCTCTCCTCTCCTCTCCTTCTCCCCCCCTACACCCTTGTGATTGATTCCCCTCTTTGCCCCCTTGTTCCTGCACCCTTTCCCCCGTGTGTTCTGATCAGATCTGGGTCAAAATGTGTTTACAATAGCTGGTTCTTGTTTGAACTTTTGCACAATAACAGATTGGGTGGCACTAATCACACAAGGACACTTCAGATGGTGTCAGGCAGGATGCTAATTAGAGAGTAGAGAGAAGTTCACTCAATTGATTTGTAATCATTTTTTAGTGGCAAGTCTTTGGCACGGATTTGTCTCCTCTGTGTTACAGCAATTCCATCCGGCAGAAATAAAGAAGTTGCTGATTGGATGCAAATCAGATGATTTTTTAAAAAGTACCCAGATCCACAGAAGTAGCTACTAGCAATTATTAAACCTTGGCTGTTGGTCATATTTTTATTTTAAGCATCAGTACAGGCCCAGAATGTCACAATCAGTGCCTCCCTGCTAGCGATACATGATCGTGATCAAAGCAGAGTGTGTGTTCCTGTTACACATCTATGTGACCTCACACATTTCTTTGTTAAAAACAGTGTAGAACACATCACCCCAGTTCTTAGATCTCTGCACTGGCTACCAGTAGCTTACAGAATCGATTTTAAAATTGTATTGCTAACTTATAAAGCATTAAATGGTTTGGGACCCCAACGTGTGTCTGAAATGCTTCTGTTACGAGCCCCCCAGAGCTGTGAGATCATCGGGGGCTCAGAACCAAACACACTTGTGGAACAAACTTCCAGAAAACCTGAGGTGTCCACCAACGCTGAGTTCTTTTAAGTCGAGGCTAAAAACACAGCCGCTTACCCAGAAGTATTTTAACTTGTTTTAGCACCTACCGTATTTACAATGTTGTTGTTAAAATACTCTGTATCTTTTTATGCATCGTTTTTCTGAATCTGTTATTCGACAGAGTTATTTAGTGTGTTCCGTAAAGCACTTCGAATTGCCTCTGTGTCTGAACATGTGCAATATAAATAAACGTACCTTACCTTCCCTTCCAGAGAAGCGCCACGGCTCCCCGGCCCCCTCCAGGACCCCCCTGGTCCCCATGAAGCCAAAAGCACCTGCAGTGACCCCCACTGTGGTGCCAAGTCCCGGGGACACGCTGGCCTTCAGGGTCCCCAAAGAGTACCCTCACTCACGCTTCAGCAAGGCGCCTCTGGCTGTCTACCCACCGAAGGGGGCGCGGAACAAGACATGGTGGGCACATACTTCTTATTTTTACATCCACAATTATTTAGGGATCTTGTGTCATGGTGCTTATGCTTCTTCAAAAACATTTGGCTTTAGAGCGTTTGAACTTGAGCCCTTATAGTCAGCTAGACAAGTCAACCTGGACTAGACTAAAGTCATTGGTGGGGGGGCCGCCCAGGTGCTAACTCCTCTCTTCCCGTCTGCAGTGTGTCCCTCCCGGTGGTGAGCCTGGAGAAGATCCCCTGCCTCAGCTGGGGCGACCCTTCATCACATGTGCGCCTCACCTCCCCCTCCTCTTCCTCCCCCTCACACCTCCCTCCCCCGGCCTCCCAGCGGTCCAGCGAGAAGCTCACAAACGGTCGAGGGCCGCCCACCCCCCGCTCCACCCCCTCTCCATCCTCCTCTGCGGACAGACGGCCCAGTCCGGCTCGCTCACCTCTGGACAGACGGCTGCCCTCGACCCCCTCTCCTTCCCCTCTGGACCGTAAACCCCCCCCCTCACCGGCCCCTTCCCAACGCTCTGCCGCTCTGCCTGTGACGTCGCTGTTGGAGAAGAAGCAGCAAAATGGGACGAAGACTCCGTCCAGGTCGCAAAAAAGACTCTCAGGTCAGTACTTAGAAAACGTCTGGTTAAATCCTTTTGCTTGGAGTTGCAGTTTTGTTTTACTTTCATACGTATACCTGTAATATTCCAAGTTTCTTAGCACCTTAACTTTTCTGATGAATGTGTGCAATGTGGTCTAAACTTGGAGAAGAAATGCGGAGCGTTTCATAATTGAATACTTTTCCTGTCAGCTGGTTTGTCATCTAGATTTCTTGACATTGAGTCACAAAACTGATTCTTTAAATGTTGCTTTCAATCTTTTATTTCAGTTACAAGCTGATACCCAAAGATTTAGGACACAAAAATAAATCATAATAAAAACCACAAAACAAAAACGACTACTAAAAACTTTTAAAGGCACGCTCTGCTCTAAGAGTTAAATATTTCTGACTTGAATTAAACTTTTAGGGTTTATATCAGTGTTTCTGCCAGACCAGGGCTGAGAGGGCGACCA